CCCCCCACAATCATTATATTGTTATCATTGTTTCATCACCAACATTTTTCTACCATTTCAGGCATTCGAATCAACACCACAAACCCTTCTGCGACTCGAACCCGCGCCTTGAGAACCTTCGACCAGGCGCTCGGCATGTCCGACTTCAGCGTGATGGACATGAGCTTGAAGATGCTGGCCTCTGCCCACCCCCTGCATGGACGCTGTGCCACTGTCCGAGAACAGAGTGACGTCATAGTGTTTTTGGCCAGTGCCCAGGCCAGCTTCGTCACTGGCCAGCACATCTATGTTGATGGGGGAATCTGCCTGCATATGGGAACACCCACTCCAAAGATGGAATAGAACCGTAGAGCAGCTGCTGTTGTTTGTTGTTGTTTGTTGTTGTTGTTGTTGTTTTTGTTTTTGTTGCTGCTGCTGCTGTTGTTGTTGTTGTTGTTGCTTTTTGTTGTTGATGATTATTCTGTTTGTTTGTATGTATGTTTGTTTGTTGCTGTTGTTGTTATTGTTGTTGTTATTGTTGTTGTTGTTGTTGTTGTTGTTGTTGTTGTTGTTATTGCTACCGTGGTGGTTGTTGTTTTCGACACGAGCAGATTCGTACCCAAAGACAAACTGAGGCCTGCAATACGAAAAAAGACCCGCTTTCCTTGAAGAAGGCGTCGTCCTACATCATGACAACGCACCTGTTCACAAGTCCAGAGTTGTGAACGAGCTTCTCGAGGGCTACTCGTAAGAATCTTAAGATCTCGCCTCATTTGTCTACCACCTCTTCCCAAAGGTGAAAGAAATGCTGCAAGGTAGGGGATTTGAGGACGAGGACCAGATTCAAGCTCACTGCTTATTGATCCCATAATCCACGAGGATCGTAGGGGCGCTGTATGATCATGTGCCTCCACTTTGTGCGGTTTTTTTTTTTTTGCGAGCTCCTGAGTTTGAGCAAAGGATTTCCCTGTCCGTTCCGCAATGTTGTCGGTCCACCTCTTTCTTTGCCTTCCTCTCTTTCTCCTCCCCTGCACAGATCCGTTGAGAATGGTCTTGGATAGGTCATACGATCTTGTTACATGACCATACCAATTAATTTTCCTTCGCTTCACAGTAGACAGCAAGTCTAAATAGTGGCTCATGCGTTTTTTTCACTCTACTGCGCATTTCCTCATTGTGATGTGGTCCCTGTATGAGATGCCAAAGAGTCATCATCAGCCAAGAAGGATCCACGCCAGAAGTCCATGCAAGAATTGCACAAACAACAGGGGCCATTACAAAACGTAGACCAACATGTAAAAAGATGGGAACATCTGCTCAGTCAGCTCCGAAATCAGACTACTCTATGCCCTCGTCATCTCCATCGTTCTCTTTCGCCCACCCTCTACCCTCAAATGTAAACAGCCAAAACAAACACACACACACACACACACACACACACACACACACACACTATCCACCCCTCTTCTCCGCTCTCACATCACTCTGCGTTCAGTATTCAGGCAGCGCCCAAAAATGCAGCAGAGCTACCTAGATAACGTTATAACGACAATCTCCAAAAGAAAACTGTACTGTGGTCATTTCCCTTCATCAACTTTAGCCCAAAGCGTAGTATGAAGTGAAATCGGTTATTTCTTGGAATTGATTCATTTTGTTCAACGTTTGTGCTTTCATGATGTGATTGGTCTCGATAGATTGAAATCAGAGTATTTGGTTGTACCAGTATCTTTGTGTATCTTGCCCTTCCTTTCACCCTTCCTCCGGAATACCTCTGCCCCCCCCTCGCATCTCTCTCTCTCTCTCTCTCTCTCTCTCTCTCTCTCTCTCTCTCTCTCTCTGTCTCTCTGTCTTTCTGTCTCTCTGTCTCTCTCTCTCTCCCCTCTCTCCCTCTCTCTATCTCCCCTCTCCCTTTCCCCATACTTCTCTTTTTCTCACCGTCCATTCTACCCCACCCCTTACCCATACACACACTTTCCCTCCTTCTACCTTCAACTTACTGTCAAAGAAGACTTGTAATTTGTAACCAGAGATTGGAAATTTTGAATCAATCTAGCTCAGTATATGTGACGTGTGTTGACAAAATGATACACTTCTCGGATTTCACCTTTATGGAAATTGATACATCAACTTGATAGGTGAAGTTTGTACAATTTGTGAGCATGGAATAGTAAAAGACACAGTAAACTTAAACAAAATGGCATCATGATATCAATTGAAAATCTATAAATCTGACCGCAGTGTTGATTTTCAGCCGATATATCCATTCTGGGATCGTGAGAAGTAACTCATTTTGTCAGCACATCTCACATATTGGAAAAGCGTGTAATGCCAACCTTATGTGTTTGCACATAATCTAAAAACAGAAATAAAAGACCAATGTTCAACATGTGCATGGCACATTAAGCAAGTCACTGTTGCAACTGCATGCAGTCAAGAATAATAAAAATGTGTTCTTTTTGTTACAGTGTCACTCGTCGTCCAGTCTGTACTGTAGCTATAACA